TACCATCTCCCACTTACCTTAACCTGGAGAAGGCCTGTTAGTGCCACAGAAGCCTGGGAAAATTGACTGTTGCTTACCCCCATAGGACACCAGCTCAGTAAACATGTGATTTGAGGAGATCACACAGTTTCTGGGTCAATAGTAGGTGTTCCTGAATTGTGTGCAGATTCCAGAGCTGTTGCCCAATATGATATCTGTAGGCATAAAATCTCATTTGTTGAAATGCAGATTCCCATTGTTTGTTTTCTGTTACTTGGTTCTAAATACCCTGTAATACTTTCATTCTCTTGAATGGTTTTACACTGTCTTGTTATGTTTGATACTATAGTATACGAAGGTATACTCAAGTATTTCAGGGAAAGAGACACTACGGTAGCTACTGTTATGTCGGATTGTCTTGTGGTGAAACACTATGTTGCTTAAATAGTTCTGTTCTGACCTGTGCTGTTGTGTTGTTATGTCCTCTTTTATCTCGGTCTCCTTTTTTTAAATTAGAAAAAAAGAAATGCAGACTCCTAAACTTCAGCCTGGTGTAGCTTTCAGGGGCTTCCCAAAACTGATAAAACTGAGAAGCTCACATTGGGATTTAGCAGTGTTATTGGTATCTTTCATCCACTTCTGTTCATTTCATTTGACCTTTTAGTGACTTATGAAAAGGACACATGGGCTTTGGAACACCATAGAAACATGCTATTTTTAGGTGGTAAGGCTGGCGAGAGCTTCAAGTGTGAGCACCTCTGTGACTGGCTTTGAAGAATGTTGATTGGGATTGGGAATGGAGACACCAGACTTGGGGGCCAGCAACAGTCTTTCCCTAGAGCAGCTCACATGTGGTGCATTCATCTTTCTGAGCCTGAATAAATCAACCTTCTCAGATCGCAGTCAGTGAGATGATGTCATGAGGCTCTGTTCTCAGGTAGATGAGATGCCATGTACGTCTCATCACATTTTAAATTCAGAGTCACCACCCACCATAATGGTAGAATGCCTACACAGTTGGGACAAATGAATCTGTCCTTATACTTCATTGTAGGTCTCAAACATGTCTGGACCTTTGCAATATGGTCTTTAATGTCCTTCTCTTCTTTGCCTGACAAGTTCTGAACTGTCAGAAGGTATTTTATCCAATAAGAATTTGCAAAAGGAGGTCAAAACGGAAGCAAGACCCACCTCACACAGGACTGTTACGGTGGGGTTACATTTTAAATTTTAGTTCCCGTGCAGCAGGATGCCATTAAGGCTCGTGACATGATCTGGTTTATAATGTGAAAGAAAGGGACTGCAGTAACATAAGTGACACATCATGATGGAAGACTGGATTGGGATGTTGGTAGTGGAAACGTGAAAGTGTGAGTAAAATATAGAATTTAAGTTGTGTTTCCAGAATGCACTTGTTGCTGAGATGAAAGAAGGTGTCCAGAACACCTGCTAGAGTTTTGACCCAGGTGAGTGATATTCCTATTGGGTGATAGGGGACAAATCACAGGAAGAACTGTCGGAGTTGGGGAATCAGGAGGTTCTTTGAACCTGTCAAAAGAATTGATTAGAAATAACTAGGCTAGAGATGTTAATTTGGCATTCAAGAGCATAAAGGAGGTGCGGTGGTTGTCCTACGTGCCTGTGATATCTCTGGGACTCTGTGCCCTCCCTCTTGACTCTGCACTGGCCTTAGATACACTGCTTGACACCCCAGGCTAAGGCACCAAGAGCCATGCTCCTTCCACCCGTTGCTCTTGGAAGATTTATTTTTCAGAGGCTCCTTTTGCAGACAGTTCCCTTTCAGAACCCAAATACCATGTTGTGAGAAGCCTCAAGGGAGGCCATGCATAGATGCTCAAGTCAACGGGCCCCATGAACTCAAGGTTCATCTGCCAGAAATGTTCCCACCCCACCCCACGTTTAGAACTTTATTCCTTTTCTGAGTTTAAGGCCTAACATTTGCTCTTACAATCACAACAGGAGTCGGGCAACTAATACACCTGTAGCTACCTAAAGAATCCCGACTACGGAGGAGGGAAGGGGGCCCTCCACCCTTAGATGCTCCAGCCAATGAAGTCACACTCCCCTTGTTTGAGCCACGAGATCTGCAGTGGCAAGCATCATGAGGTGGAGCTAAGCCGTCCCTGCTACGCCCCGTACACTGTTTGGACCTATGAGGCAATGTAAAAAGGGATCAGTTTACTTCGCGAGAATTGTTACAGGATGAGTGATAACCAGAATGGATGGTAATCGAGGCCATTGGGGGAGATGAGATTACTGAAGGAAACTGTGGAGAGGGAAATGAAAATGGGGAAAACACTACAGGGAACTCCAGACTTCAAGGGAGGGAAGGGGAGAAGATGAGTAGAAAAAAATGCAGCCATGAAAAATAGAAGTCTGACAGAGAGCAAACAGCATGGTGTCATGGAAGCCGAAGACCAAGTTTCAGGGAGAAAGTACTTGGCCACAGTGTCAAATGCTGCTGACAGGTCAGGGAAGAGAACTGAAAAGTGCCTTTAGGCTTTAGTAACAAGGACAGTGGTGACTCAGCAGAGCAGCTTCACCTGAGAGCCCATAACAGCAGTGAAATCCTTTGAGAAGAGAGGAGCACAGAGGAAGACCGAAGCGGGGCTGGCTCTAGGCTGCAGGCAGGGAGGCTACCTTCTCCCTGTGTCCTGAGAGAAGGGAGAAATGGCAAGCGCAGCCCCCAAGAGGTGGGCACCTTTTGTCATCAGGCGGCTAGGGAGTTCTCTTCCGAGGATTTTGCTCCTTGACCTGAACCTCTGAAGGGAAAAATACAAGAAGAAGTGCGCTTTGCTTCTACCCTGTGAGTTAGCTTACCTGGGGACTCTTTGTCTGGGATCAGCACCCCCTGAATTTAACTGTCTTAAATTCAGCACCCCCTGAAGTTAAGATTCAGTCGTTCCCATGTCTGGATAGGAGCTGGGTTGTAAATAGTCCCTTGTCACATCACACATGGTGGACCCTGCCACACGGAGCGCAGGACAAGGACATGAGGGTGGGGGTGGGACAGAGAAGCTGGGGGCAGGGAGATCACTGCTAGACCTGCAAGGGTGGCCCTTGTATCCCTAGGCTAGCCTCCTCCTACCCATCATGACTTGGTGCTGGGTCAAAAGCTTTTGAAGCTGCCAACCTATCTAAATTGTGCCACAGGGACCCAAAGGAGAGGGGCTGTGCTCCCAGAAGGTGCTGAGGTTGGGGACCAGGACATGGTACCTGGGGTAGGGTATGCCGGTAGGGAAGCCGCTGCCAAAGAGACCTGGCTCTGATCGTATTCTGATTTCTCGGATTGGGAAACTAAGTCTCAGGTGAGGGAAAAGACTCGCCCAACATTAAAAAACGGTAGTTGATGGGACTGAACCTGGTGGAAACCCAGACCTGCCTTCTTCTCAGTGCTTTCCCCATAGTCTCAAGTTACTGAGATGGAGACACAAGGTGGCAGGACAGGTGTATGTTGCCCTGTCCTTTGCAGCGACATGGATGGGCCTGGAGTACATCAGGTTACATTAAACAAGCCAGACAGCTTCCGTGTCCTGCAGCACCCCTTGTAAAGATTCTGAGTTCTGGGGTGCCTCTTCCCAGGCCCACCTCAGGAGCCCTCCGATGGTTCTCACAGCATGGGTGCACCCGGGACAGGCCAGTAGGAGCTGCTGAGGCTTTCAGAGGGGTCTGGTGCTCACTGGTGCCTCTGTCTCCTCACCCCGGGATTCCGGCAAGAAGAACGAATAGATCCTTCAGGAATCCCCAGATTTAAAAGCCCCCTGGAACAAGCAATTATCTAGTTAAGCTGAAGTTCTTCAAAGTGGCTGCAGAAAGTACATTTATTAGTACTTTATTAGTACGCGGTGGTCTCAGGGCTGCTTTAGAAGCTGCATATTGTATCTGCTTGTCTCTGGGAGTCTCACCATTGACATGCTCAGCATCACCCTGAAGCAAACCTCGTCCATGTAGCTGTGATCTAAATTAGCATTTGGTTATTTAATAAATATTATTGAGTGCCTACTATGTGCTAGGGTCTCCTAGAGTCTCCACAATGGTACCCTTAATGATCAACTAGGGATCTCTCTCCCCAGCACTCTCTGACCCCTCCCTCTGCTCCTCCTCTGGTGCCAATAATATATCACAGCCCTGGGCACTGCTTCCAGTCTGGATCACAGTTTCAAACTGTAGAGGAGCTGGACAACAGAAGAACAGCTCGGACTTTCCCTTGAGACTAAGGGAATGGTTTCAGATGCAAATTGGTTTCAGAAAGGTGTTCAGGAAAGGATGACACTTACATATTGCTGTCAGGCAGGTTTAGAAAGGCAGGTGCCTCCTGACATGCTCCTTGCTCCGTTGTTCTGGGGCTGTGGCTGAGCTGCGGATTTGACTACTTCAGGCGTAGGCCAGCCATCAGATGATCACAGGGCTGAATGTGAATTTTGGGTCAGATCTTCTGAGTCCCTTCTATTTTAGACAACATGACTTTTAAAAAATGCTCTCCCAAGGAGATTTTCCCATCCCTTAGGAGACTGATAATTTCCTCAAGCAAATCTCAGGAGATTATTTCCAGATTTCCTTAGCTTCCTAAGAAAAGAGGTTCTCATCCACTTACTGATACGTGGCTCAACCAAGCAGATGCTTACTGATAATTGTTGCCAAAGAGAACTCCTGCCTAAGGGAAATGGTAATCAATGGAAAAGGGAAAACCCTTAGAACTGCAAGGAAAGAACCTTTCTCTATTTACTGGGAGGTGGTGAATTTGGGAGAGAAAGTAACACAACCTTTCTTTCTCCTGCATATTCAGTAATGAGATCCCCTAGTCAATTGAAACTGTTTTTACAGGGTTCCCTTGTGAGTGGTTGCAACAGATCCCTTGCTGGGGGATACCATTCTTCCAGTGCAGGGTAATAGTGTTAGAAGAACGGAAAGCATTCCAGGCACCAGGGTAGGGGGAGGAGTCAAGAACAGAGTACAGCCCGTGTTAGGCAGAGTGACCAATAAGAGTTCTCCAGCCCAAATACAATTCAGAAAGGATTTAATAAACAGCCGCTAAACATTGCACCAAAGCATTTGGAAACACAATTAATACACAGTTGATACAGAAGATCAGGCTTCCACTCTAAATTCTTTAAGACAATCATTTACAGCCCCGCCCACCCCCCCATCCCCACATGTCCACAAGACTACACTCTTCTAGTCAAGAATTTACCTATAGACACAGCCTTAGGAAAAAATGGGACTGGCATGCATTATCCCAGCAATGGCAAGGAAGCAGAAGATCAGGGAAGGATGGATGGAAAGGCAACCAGCAGCTAAGGACACACCCCGGGACAGCTTTTGTTTCTGTGGGAGGCCAGGGACAATCTGCTTGCTGTACCATCTGTGGCTCTGCCTTGGGCTTCTAGGAGTCTCCAGACAAGTGCACGGAATCAGATCCATGCTCTTAGAAGCATAACACAGAAACTTTCTAAAGACCTTTACAGTGTCCTCATGACCCAGAAGGCCCACTGAGATGGTGCTGATTCTGAGGTCCAAATGGACCTGGCTTCTCAGTTCTTTCTCCATTTTGGCTACTGAAAAGGGGTGCAGTATCATTGTTTATTAAAGACACTTGTAAGGGGCCTAGGCAAATTATTCAAACTTCTGCGACTCAGTGTATTTACCTTATAAAATTTGTGTATTTATGCCTGTCCCATTTACTAACATTAAGAACAAATTAAATCAAATGGCCTTTACATAATATGGTATAAAACTGTCAATAAATTCAATGGTTTAGTTGACTCAAAAAGGGCTAGAGAAATTTGTATTGATCTCCAGGTCACCCCTCTCAAGCTTCGTCATCGATGACACAGGACCAGAGGTCCCTGGTGTGCTGGGCGAGGGCCTCAGAAGGGTGAATATGACTTTTTACCTGCCAGTGACCCTTTGTTTTGAGCCAGACTTGAATTCTCCACTACCACCAACCCTTCCTATCCCACCTGGTGATGGACAGGTTGCCTTGGCCGGGAGGTGACTTTCTCACGTCCTCCAGCTCAGAAAAACTCTCACGCAGCCTCTGCTCACAGCCCTCTGCCTGGCAGGCCCTGCTGCAGGCAGAAGGTGTGGCACAGAGGACCACACTGCGCAGTCCGGTCTGGCTCCCTAGGAAGTCAGAATCGTGTGATCTGAATCAGCCCACAATTCTCCTCAGTCTGGACTTCTCGAACAGCCAAGGCTCGCAGGACAGGGACTAGGGGTCTCCTGTTCTTCCTGCGGTGGGCGGACTGCAAGAAAACACATGCGATGCCGGCAGCTGGGGGAAACCGGCAGGCTAAAATGTGCAGGTGGACAATGGCAGTGTTTGGCTCTGGTGGGAGGAGGACACTATGCAGTGGCAGAGGGACAAGTCATGTTTTGGTTGCTATTTTTTCACTGAGATTCATAAATATGAACTGAGAGTCACAGCTCTGAATGAGGGTTAAAAAGAAGAATCCTGGACCGTGTGAGGGGAGCCCCGGGGCGGGGTGCCTGGTGCCTCAGGGGTGTACAGTGCTCTGGCTGCTGGGCCACCTCCACGACCTACTGTTTGCGGATCATGCCCTTGATAGCTGACTCCCGGTTCACGTATGTGGCCCAGTAGACCAGATTGAAGATAGCAAAGAGCACAGGAAAGATGATGCGGGAGATTTTGTCAACCTTGCTGACACTGTTGTAGGTCTTCGTCTCAGTCGGGCTGTCCTGCACAAAGGTGGCCTTGGGCGAGGAGATGATGGTCGGAGTGGAGGACGCACTGGGAGTAGCGCCCTTGGAGATGGTGGAGAACTCGGTATCCTTGGCCAGGTTGATGGGATAGGTGGTCCCCACAATGTTGAAGGTAGTGCTCGTTTTCTTGGTCGGAGCTGCTGGTGTTTTCTTCTAGAGATCAAGAACAAAGGGCACAAAGGGAGAACAAAACAAAAACCAATTAATCCCTTACACAGAGTACTGCCAGAGGGTGCAGGGAGAGGAGCCAAGAGCGAAGTTAAGCCACTAGGTAGGCAGGTTTGGGTCCAGGGATAATGGAAGATGAGTTTCAAAACAGAAACCTTGCATCATCCTGGCTTACTGGCTAGGTGGCTTCAGCTAAGTCACTTTTCCTCTCGGGGCTTTAGTTTCTTCATCTGTAAAATGAGGATCAAGGTAACTGGCAGGTTGTTGAGAAGATCAGATGAGAAACGGTGGTAAGACTCACAGGAAAAGGTGGGGCATTAGTCATATGGGCTGAGACTGCCCTCGTTTGTCATAAGAAAACTCAGCCTCAGAATGAATGATGGAACCCGTGCTAGCAATCTCGTCTCCTGACTCTCAGCCAGGGCTGGATTATGCGGCTTTCTATAGGCACGAGACCCTGTTTGGTTCCCCAAGGAAGAACTCCAAAAGGCTGTGACCGTGGCGCATCTCCTCTGAGGAAGAGAGCTTGGAGAGCCTGAAACATCATCTTGTTGCAAAGATACAGTGAACATCATCTTGTTGCAAAGATACAGTAAATAATGTACGGTTACACGCATCACTACGGGTACACCCCTGCTTTGTGCAGTGTAATGTGCTCAGCAAGCTTCAGGGTATAGCAAGGCTTCCTCCTTTGCTGGGCAGCGGGTAAGAGCCACAGGCTCCCCACAGCATAATGGAGATGATGCCTTCTGACACAGCAAAGGCAGCGAGCTAGGGATTTGCTATGTCTTCTGGGCTTATTTTTCAGAGTAAAACATCTCAAACACGCAGCGAGGACACAAACACACACAAGCTCCCTTTCGTTCCTGCACAGACACACTCTTGTGCACGTGGAGAAGAGACAGACAGAGGCAGTACTCAGGGCTGAGTCACAGCAGCAAGGCGGCGGCAGCAGCACAGACTCCAGCCCAAGTCGGGGGCCTGGCCTGTCATCTGCAGCCTGGCTACTGCCTCACCCTTTCCTCTGGCCTTTTCTTCCCTCCATCCCTCTGCAGCTCGAGCAGGAAATGGGTACACAAGCACCTCTGAAATGCGCTCATTTCCAACACCCTGTGCTCCTTTTTTAATGTTACTTTGCCTCCCAGCACCTAAGCTTGGCTTCTTTGATCCCACATTTCCTTCCTAGCTTTCATTCCCACCCTCCCTTATTGCCCCTCTCATCCAATCTCTGTTTCTTTTTTGTCTTTGCTTCAGAGTCTCCACCATTTTTATGTTATCTGCATCAGATCTCACTGTCACTTAGCCTGCTTGAACATAACCAGGGCTTTGTTTCGACATTCACAAAATGTCTACTGGACACAGAACTCTGCCTGGCACTTAGGGGTTAGTAGAAAGGTGAAAAGCTAAGCTAGCTTCTGTCACTGTTTCCTAGGAAGTCACAGTTCTGTCTGGGCGAGCCTTGTGTATGCGTCACTGCCATCTGATGTGATCAAACTGCTAATGTTTCTGAGCGAATGCTGTGGGAAGTCAGTAGAGGCAGGGAGAGGAGAATACTTTCAGGTGTTGGAAGAGGCTCCGAGAAGGCACTGAGGCTTGCATTACAGATGTCGGTCAGAAACTCAGCAGGTGAAGATGCAGACAGGCCGACGCACGGGCCCACTTGAGGGGCTTGCTGGGGTCACATCGCGCTGCGCAGGACAAAGAGGAGGAGGACTCAGGGCGTGCAGACAGGCAGACGGCAGATTGGAAAGGCTTGTCTGCCACCATCTCCAGCTCTTCTTTGTCTATGATGGCTCCAGTGTGCTCCATCACATTGGTTTGACTAATTGGACATTTTAAAGCAATGTTGCTCTTTCCCTCTGAAAGCTGCAGTCACGTTGCCACAAGTGGAAGAGGGAAAGAGCTCTGAGGCTGCTAGGAATCTTATAAATGCTTTAAATACTACATGAGACTCATTTATAATTACCAGAGTCATTGTGTGAATGGAGCCCTGCTGCGAATTGCATTTGCTATTCAATAAAATAGTGCTTTACTTTTTTGCCTGCTTACTTATTAATTTGCTTAGTAATCTCTTTTTTGTGAGTAGACCTCAAAAAGGGAGGGGGAGGAGACAAAAGGAAAGAAAAATCACAAGAACTACTCTTGGTTAGAGGATTTCGAATGTTATTTCATTTAGTCATCCTGTAATTCAGTTACAGTCAGATCTCTGAGACAATTATTTGAAACAGCGAACTCTTTCTTTAGCTCCATAGGCACTTTGTGTGCCATAGGTGAGGAGAAGCAACAATTGATTGAATCATAGATGTTTTAAGTAATAAAGGAAAATTACCTTTTAATGTCTCTCACCATTTCCAAGCTAACACAGTTTAATTAGCCTTTATAATTTTACCTACATTGCCACCAAAGGAAATCAAAGCATAAGTTGTAGTAATGAAAAGACAAGAACAGGAACAGGAGGCACGGATTAATGACTAATATTTTCCCATTTCTGCATCTCGTGTTTTAATACTTCTTGCCCAGGAATTTTCCAGGTACAGACTGTTTTGACTTTGACAAAGTTACTATTCTACTCCTGCCTCTTTAGCCAAATGTCTGACTTTTAGGCGTGGGGTAGATAATTACTGAATGAAAAACCGATCCACCCCCATGGAAGAGTCCCAGTGTGATTTCTGGTTTGTCCCCTAAGCCTTGGAGTAATTTCTGCACCATAAAGCTGAAATTTACTTTTGAAACTTTCCCAAGTTGTCTAATTTCTCCTATAAAACCACCCCATGTGGCTTCCGGGAAGAGGCCCTAAAACCTTACATAGACAAACATGTATCGAACCCGAGTCTTCTTCAGATGGCACCCTTGTGAAATTCTTCTGAAGTTGCTATTGGAAGGGATTAATTTGGGCCTCAAATATACTTAAAACCCTACCACAACCTCAGAGTTTGTGCTTGCAATGTTTGTTGACTCTGGGTCAAACCCTGAGAGGCCACCAGCTTTACTGAACCTCAGTTTCAATGGAGATTCAAAGATGAACAAAGTCAACAGCAAGAAAATCAAACAATACAATTTAAAAAATAGTCAGAAGGCTAGAGTACCTGTCTCCAAAGAGACAAGCAAAAGGGCAACAGGCACATGAAAAAGTGCTCAACTGGTACATTAGGAAAAAGCAAACCAAAATCACAATGAAATAACACCTCACATCTATTAGAAAGGCTACAATAAAACACCCAGAAAATAAAATGTATTGACAAGAATGTGGAGAAGTTAGATTCTTTATATGCTTTGGGGACTGTATGATGGTATAGCCATGATAGAAAATGATATGGTGCTTCCTCAAAAAATTACAAGTGGAATCACCATATGACCTTGCAGCTGTGCTTCTGGGTAGCACACAATCTCAAATTCAAAGTAAGATCTCAAAGAGTTACCTGTGCATCCATGTCATAGAAGCATTATTTCCAATAAACAAATGATGAAATCAACCCAAGTGTCCATTAAGAGAAGAATCAAGGAACAAAATGTGGTCTATTCATATAACGTGACACCACTTAGTCTTAAAAAGAAAGGAAATTTGCCAGGGATTTAGCTCAGGGGCATAAGTGCCTGCTGGTCCTGAGTTTGATTCCCAGTGCAAAAAAAAAAAGGAAATTCTGCCATACTGCAACGTGAATGGGCCCTGAAGACACTGTACACAGTGAAATAAGCCTGTCCAGAAAGGAAAATTACTGCATGATTCCCTCTCCTGAGATGTCTAGAGCAATCAGAATCACAGAGACAGCAGAGTGTTTTCAAGAGCATGGGATGAGGGGGGCTTGCTGTTTAATAGGTGCAGAGTTCCAGTTCTGAAGGGTGCTAAGAATCCTGGAGATTGTGAATGTACTGAACTCTAATGAAATGTGCACTTAAGATTATTAAGGTGGTCAAGTGGTAATATTTTACATTATATGTATTCTAGTAAGCTTTAATATATATGGCGAATCAAAGACCTGGCCTAAGGAAGCCCTATTTAGTGAAGGTAATTGTTTAAAATAAGATAGAAATAAGACATAAAGAAGAATGCACAAATAAACATTTAGAGAGATATAAATAATGAATGAATCATGGGAATTTCAAAGAGGAAAGGAACACACTAGGTGTGTAAGAGAGAAACACACCAGACATGCAAGAGTCAGGTAAGCCACCAGAGAGTGGAAGAAGAGTAATCCTTGTAATGGATTCCTGAAAGGATGTGAACTATCCAGAGGGCATGTGGGAATTTCCCTGGTGCAGCTCCCCACAGACCCGGAGATCCTATCTATGCTTCAGTTGGCTTTTCAGAGACTGTGGGGGTTGTTCATTCACCCATGAAATCTTCAATGTGTGTCCACTAAGTGGCAGCTTCTGAAGGTGCAGCGAGGGATAGTAAAACACAGCTCCTGGCCTTAAGGGGCTCACGTTTCAGCAAACAGGGCAGGGCGTAAACATAGAAGCTGATAAATACATGGCAAAGTCCAATCAGAGGCTGGGACCCATAAGGGAGACCCATAAGGTGGGGCAGGGGCTGGGAGAGATGAGATAGAGACAGTCTTTTGCAGAAGCTGAGCAGAGGCCTGAATAAAACAAGAAAACAAGCTTTGAAAAGATCTGCACAATCGAGACCCCAGAGAACAGCAATGAAGGGACTGGGTCCTGTAAGGCATCTAAGATATATAAAGATTACAGAGTTTAATCTAAGAGCAGGAGGAAGTCATTAAAACTACTCTGAGCAGAATTTTTGTAATTTACAATCGTAAATGAGTCTTTTTTTTTTTTTTTTTGTGGCTCAGAGAATGGCTGGTAGGTATGAGAGCATAGGGCTAAAGCTTGGAAGCTACTTCTATAATGAGGCTGGCAAGACAGATGGCGCCCAGTGTTAGGCCAGAGGAAGCCAGCCTGCTGGGAGATGTCTGTGAACAGGGAGCAGTGAGTTAGGTTTAAGTGGTCTGGAGTGGGGTGTGGGGCAGGGAAGATAAAGA